GTAGCCCTAGTGCCTCAAAATCTTTACAAGGCAAGAGTCATGAAGTATGCCCAGGTAACATCGCCCAACTTCCATTTTATACTGACACCCTTTCTCTATATTGCAATGCCAGAATTACACTGATCACCCCATTTTACTCTGTGATCTATGAGGCAATATAGTATATTGAACGCCCAACACCCTCCTACTTTATTTGAGAATGGATAGCAGATATCCATAAGATATAAATAAGCAATGGAATCTATCTTTCCTTTTTATTAAGTTGTCATGTATGATATAAAGACAATCAAACAGGTTTTTTGCTTTTAAAGAGAACACATAGGGATACAATGGAGAATGTTTACCTGATGGAATAAAAGTATGAATGATGTGAACATGACAATGGCCTAGAATCCAAAACTGGAGGAAGTATTTATGTTGAACAATAAAAAAATACATATATTCAATCATTTGAGTAAATGAATCAAATATCTTAATCAGCTTAATAGCTAAATATGACTAGTCTCAGATACTGTGTGTTTTCTGGCTAGAGTATATTAGTAGATTCTATTTTGGTTCCCACACCATGAAAATCAACATAGTTGGCATGAATGAGTCTCTTTAACTGCTTTGTCCAATATATATTTATGTTTATATTTACTAACTCAGACATATCCAGCCATTTGATTAATAATCATAAATTGTCTAGATTTTAGTGGGAACCAGAAGTTTTAATAAGCATAGATCTGTGCCTTAAATGAGAAATACAATAAGTAGGAGAGCAAACATTGAAATTCACAAAACAATGTACGCCATCATCATTGTACAGATAAGCAGGTATCATGGGGTGGGGAGCGGAGAATGACGTAGCACTCATCATTCCACGGAAGCCCGTGACAGCCTTTGTGCTGAGGCCATTTTGAACCTAACCTTGTGGGGGAAGCATGATTTCCCCCAAAATGTAAAATACGAAAATAGAGTTTACCAGGTGACAGAAAACAGTTGGGCTGAATACAAAGGTTATCTGGTATATTAATAACTATCTATTAAAAGTTTTCCGTAACTGTAGCATCAGCTCTACCACAGAACATGGCAGGCGAGGAGATGAAGGCCACCTTCCTCTCTCAGGGTTCAGTACGTGTCTACTTAAAATGTTATGTCAAGATAAGGCATTTGGGATGAAGCCCTACAGACAATAATGATGCACATACGTTTTGAAAGAAAGGTAAACAAACAATCCAATTAATTTCTCAAGAAAACAATTCTAGTGGAAGTTGCAAGAAAGATCATAAAGAGAAGGGTGCAAATTTGCACTGGGGATGCTGCTGGGCAAGCTTTGAGCTGCTCCCTGCGAGATTGGCAGTAGATATCCACCAGCTGCTCCAAAGGGGAAGAAGGAAGCTAGCGGGCCCCTGGAAAATGTACGGCCTCTGAATCCTGTAATTGTGGGATTTTTAACAGTCTATTCAAGCGATTCCAAGCAACTAAACTCATGAAACATTTGAGGCAGAAACAAATTTAGAAACCAATTAGACATGTAGTCCCAAGAAATATCAATGCTAATACACTAAAACTACCCTCTCTCAAAAGAAATTCACTGCTATTGAATTGATTCCAATTCATAAAGACCCTATTATAGTTTTCAAGACTATAAATCATTACGGGCAGACAGAGCCTCATATTTCTCCTGAAGGGTACCTGGTAGGTTTGAATTGTCAACTTTCCAGTTACAAGGCCAACATCTAACTCACTGTACCCCCGGGGCTCATTCAAACTAAAGTGAGGAGGGAAAATTAAGAAATTATCAACCATTTATGGGGGAGAGGGCAGGTGAGAGGGAAAATGAGGAGCAGATATCAAGGGCTGAGATAGAAAGAAAATGTTTAAAAAATGATGCTGACAACATATGTTCAAATGTGCTGGACACAATGGATGGATGGTGATGAGCTATAAGAGCCCCCAAAACAATGATTAAAAAAAAGAAAGAAAGAAAATAAAGTGATGCTATCAACTCTACGACATATGCTTCCAATAAAATATCACAGAAAATGAGAAAAAATAAAATAAAAATAAAGTAAATCATTTTTATCTAAAAGGTCTTAACCTCACGAATACCAGGTCATTACTTTTTGATTTACAGACCAAATTGAGAGTCTGACAAAAACCACAATCTTTGTAAGATGTGCTCCTACCTACAGAACTTTCCTTTTGTTTTCAGGAGATCCATAAACTTCTAAGTTAAGAACTTCTATTCTAAAGCGAGTTCCTTCATGAAAGAAATCATATATTTCTTAAATCTGTTTTTACAGTGCTCGCCAAGACCTTGTTACAGGGCAGGGATTTCATAGGTTTTTATCTAGTTGAACTGAGTGTTCCACTAAAACATGAATGTTTTTATTTTCATTAACTGCCTACATCCCAACCTCCCCATCCTGTCAACTTTAGTGTGAAATTTAATATACTTTCCTAACATTTCTTCTTGGATAAGAAGAATATTGAAAGTCCCACAGACTGCCGAAAAACCAAACTAACCTGTCTTTGAGGAAATACAGCAAGAATGCCTCTTAGAGGCAAGGATGGCCAGACTTGGCCTCAAAGACTTTGGACCTATTGTCAGGAGTAACCGGTGCTGGGCAAGGACGTTATGCTCGGTAAGATGGACGGGCAGTGAACAAGAGGAGGCCCTCAATGACACGGAGTGACACAGTAGCTGCAACAATGGGCTCAGACAGAAGACGGATTGTGAGGCCGGGGCAGCACCATTAAGGGCTTCATTGTGTTGTGCAGGAGCTGCTAAGAAGTGCAACAGACTGGACAGTACTTAACATAAACAACAACATCTTCTGTCGATGTAACATAATCTCTCTTCATTCACTCTTCCAATGTTGTACGTTCATGCTGACTACACTAGTCGCAGAAAAATAAAGCAAGATGCATTCTCAATTGGGTACTCTTTGAGACGAGAAAATGGTCAGAATATTGAGCAGGAAAAGATATGAACAGTGGTGTATTGTTAAATAGAGGGGCTAACTTCCTTAGCCTATTGAAGAGAGCACTCCCTATTGTTCCCTTTTCTTTTCATGTTTATTGAGATGGGGCTGATAAGCTACATTATTGACACTGAGCAAACAGGACAGCATAATGGAGGGAAAGAGGGGAATGATATGCAGTAGTATTTAACCTGCCAAATCATAGGTAAACCAAATATTAAATGTGTCTGTGCTCTTAGGGAGAAGCAGCACCTCATATGGTTTCTGGACACAGTGGTTTCTGAACACAAGACACTGGTGCCAACTTCTGGGTAAACCTTGGTTCCCCCATTTAATAGCTGTGATCTGAAGGAAGTAACTTAACTTTTCTATACCTCAGTTTCTCATCACCAAAATAGGATTCATAATAACACATCACTTAATGATTATAAAGTTAAATGAGCTTAATAATGTAAACTACTATATATATGTGTGTGTATGTATGTATATATATATATATTCATATATTCTCATATGGGTGTTTGTATATATATATATATATATATACACACACACAAACACCCATATATATACACACATGCATATATTCTCATATATTCAGTGATGCATGCAGGTTAGCCAAACCATTATTCTCAGAAAAACACTTGGTCCAGAGTAAAAAACCCAAAGTCATTTTTATATATAAGGCTACAATGTTTCTTTGGAGTATCTGAATCAAACGTGAAAGAATTAGATCTATTCTACACATATTAGGCAGGTACCTTCTTCACCAGGCTGATTTCACTGTATATACAGTAGTGATCTAACATGAACAAGTGGAGATAGTTCAGTACTAAGCACATTTATGATATATAAAATCTCCCTAAGAACTCAAAAAAAAAAAAGATTTAACAGAACTATAGCCATTTTTCAAGGTTTGAGAATGTGTGATAGAGCACATTTTTGTTGGTGAAAACCAGCTTCAAATGAATAGCCCTGGTATCCGTAAGGGAGTAAAAGCAGTAAGTGCGGTCACAGAAATGTGGCATCCAGCCCAGGGCAACCATGCCCCAAAGTGAAGGTGGCTTTATTGACAGGCCATGATGGCTTGATGGCCCTAAGTTCCCAAGGAAGGCTGGAAATCGGTGTGTGTGTGTGTGTGTGTGTGTGTGTGTGCCATTTCAACTTCGGGGAGATGCTCTGCTATCTTTCTTCTCATTTGGGAAGCCACAGCTCACTCATCATCTGCAGTGATCTAAATTTCAGGGTGAGGGGCCACAACAATTTTCCCGAGTTGGACATCAGAACAATTTTATTAATATTCTTATAAAATTTCTACCTGCATTACGGTAGAGATGTCTCTGTGGGATCCAAGACTAACTCTTTATGGAAGCATAAGGCCTCCTCTTTCTCCCTGCTGGTTTCAAATAACTGACCTTGTGGGTAGCAGCCCAGTGAGTAACCAGGGCCCCCTTCCAGGACAGGGAACACCAGGAAATGTATGATGTTTCAAAATATCAGGGTGAATGGGATTGAGTTAGCGATTAGTACTCTTTCATCTGAAAACCAGAGGTTCAAAGAAAGACATTTTCTGCAAAATTCCAAGGACTGTATGGAAGACACCAATCAAACCAGGGCAGAGAAACAGGTAGACAAATGTCAATTTGTCATGGAAGAAATATCCAAGCTATGTTATTTTCATTGTATCTGGAAAAAACTTTTTATGAGAAATTGAACAATGTCTAACTTTCACGCTGACAAATTTCAAATGGGTTATTTTAACATCATCCTTTTATTTCCTATAGCTTTCTCCTCAACTCATATTGCAATGTGTATCAAAAACAGAATTAAAAAAAAATGGGGAGAGGGCAGTAAAAAAAGGAAATACTATATCCTATTGGTATCAATTTATTTATAAATCATTCTAAGATGCTAGAGGTGAATTTGGTGTTTGACTCCTCAGTTGATAATGACTATAAAGCAAAGGACTGACGCCAAATTACCAGAAGTCAAAAGAGTGAGTGTAGGCACAATAGAGCATGAGAAACCTACCATTGTATTGTGCTGAGAAGTGGGAGTCCTATGGCCACAAGACTCTTGCGTCAGCAGAGAAACTGGCTGAAATTCCTCAGAGTGAGGCTTGTTGGGAAAACTCACATGCAAGGGAAGGTGAAAGGCTGGGAGCCCGTCACTCTCCTCTCCTTCCACTTTCTGTCTGCTTGTCACCATGGCTACCTCTCCATCTGCTTCCCCATACGGAGAGGCTGGCCGCTTGGAAGACATCCTGGAAGGAACAAAAGAGGAGAAAATAATGAAACCTCCACATAAATCCTTAATGCCGTCATTGTGTGGTGAGGGGCCATTGTAACAGAAATGCCTTTTTGTGCTGGCAGAGAGCAGGAAACCATCCAAATACCACCGCAAAGCACACACAATCAGAAACAATGGCCAAGCAGGTAGCAACAGAACAGTGCTTGCTTGTTGTGAGAATAATACACTCGCATAGCACTCTCTTGTATTCTGGCTTTTTCAACAAGAGGATTCACCTAAGAACACTGCATAATGAAAGCCCCTTCCATTTTAAAGGAAAGAAAAGTACCCATCTAGATTTACACTTTGATAGACTTTATTGAAGATGGAACGTCTTTGAATACAAATCCTGTTGGCACTTGAAAGAAAGGGGGGGGGGGAACCTAAGATTTTCTTCGTGAAAAATAAACAAAATAAATAAATGATTGCTATAACAAATTTCCTTTCTTATTAAAAGGAAGGTCTGTGTCAAATGTAAAATATGAGTTACACAAGCCTCAGAGCAATGGAAAAAATGGATATTCACTTAAAACTTATTAAAAAAAATTAATAAATGTTGCAATCACTAGTAATCTTGAAAAATATAAGAATGCACTTTCCCTTCCCTGCAAGATCACCTAATTTGGGCATTCAATTCTACATCAAAGTTGCAAGACGGTAACAATGGTGAGAAAGTAAAAATATTTCAATTCCATTTCTAAACTATTAAAAGACTATTTACATTGATTCTCAGAACATATTAATTCCTCCCTAGAATTCTTAAATAAAGAGAAGAAAAAAAAAACAAACAGGGAAGTTTTGTTTTGAGGAACTCAGGTCTACATGACAATGGGCTTGGATAATTGAACAAGAATTTAAGCTTTGTAAAAAACTTGGTTCTGAATCAGAATAAAGTCAGAAGCTAAACCTATGTGGCAAATATTTTTAATTAAATAAAAAATAATTGTCCTGTCATGTAAAGGTTTACATAGAAAAAGGAATGTTAAAACATTTCATTAAAGCCATCTCATTATATTCACTTGATCTGATCTTGCAAACACTGTACATTTTCACTAAATAAACAAAGGGCATTTGCAGAGACTTTCATTCTTATTCTGGACCAGAGGGCTGGGAGACAGAACATTATTTCTACTCCCTTGATATATTTATGACTAATTTCTTAATTGAACATTTATTTTTTAAACACATGTCTCTCCTCAGTGTTGCATTTATTATACATACATTTTCTTAGTTAGAAAATTCAAAAGAAAAAAAATATTCTAATTCTGTCAAGAGAATCTTATTAACAACAACAAAAAGCACAGTGGGGGAAATCAGAGCTGTGTTATCAGACAGATATGTACTCAAATACTGGTCCTGCCACTTATTTGCTGTGCATCATCATTGCTACATCTCAATTTCTTTTAAAACAAAATCGAATATCTACCCTTCAAGACTTTTTGTGGAACAATTGTGTACCATTTGACAGGTAAGAGGTACAATAACTATCACAATAGATGCTCAATAAATCACAGCTGGTGTTTGTTTGACAAATTTTAGACTATAGCGCAACCTACTCACCCCTCCAAAATAAATAAAACACCAAAGTGAGGAAGGAAAATCACCATGAAATACAAAGTCTCCCACTGGCCAGTGATATTTGACAATAAACCGATTAGTGGTATTAAAGACTGTATAAAGAGAAATGTTAATGGGAAGAAGTGTTGGTCAGCTAAAGAAGAGAAATATTGGTGGCAACCATGTCAGCATGTCTAAAGAAGACGTAGATGTTGCCATCACCTGTCAAGGATCTTTGAGTATTTTTTTATGCCAGTCTACTTCTTGCCTGAGAGAGAGAGAAAGGGACTGTAGCTAACAGAATACTGTTCGTCTCAGTGGTAACGCTGTACCTCTCACTGACTTGGTGCATCACACTACATGCAATCACCCTAACGCGGGAGACATTTGACTCTCACTGTTTAGATTCAATGTTCTCCAAACACATTCCGGGTTCACATTCAGAAATGGGTTGACAGTACAGACCTGTAATACCAAATATGTTTATATGGTGATTTATCAGAGTAAACCAATGAAGGGACATTTTATTATGTCTTGGATTCACATATAACTTGTTTAGAAGCAGATCTTGTAATTATCATATAAGCCTGATATTTTTGTGGCCTTCGTAGGCATTTCCATGCCTCTAGGAATTGATAAATTGGTACTTTGCAGTCTCACTTAGCTTCAAGGGTTGTCTGTCCATGTCTGGAAACTCCAGACAACTAACAAGTGTCATATTTTGGCCCAAAGTATAAAGCTAGATTAGCTAATTTAAGGTCATTGTATGAATCTCAGAAACATGGCTTTTCTATCCATTTCTCCTTAATTGTTATGTAGTATCAGCATAACAGTTAAGGGCGGTTAATTGCAATGTCTCCATTGGAGGAGAGCAGGCAATCTGCTAGGAAACCCTGTACATGGGGTGACTAACAACGACATGAAACAAATGAGGTAGAGCCTAAAAGTAGACTTGACGTAGGCAGAAACTGCTACTATTCTCATAACTAATGGATATCTCCATCTCAAAGTTATCTTTAACCATAACTAGTTAGCATGCTTTATGTATAACTTTCTATGGAATAGAAACTCCACAGACACATCATAACTAACTTCTAAAATAGGACATATGAAGAAGTCCTGGTGACAAAAGGCAACTAATAGCCTCAAATTACAGAAGATGATTCTCATTACAATATATGGTTCTTGTAAAGTTGTGGAAAACCACTTGTTCACAAATACTAAACATTCTTCCTACATGACATAAGTCTAAGTTTCTGTGTGCCTCTGGCCATGATATTTTTTGTCAACTAATCAATAAATCACCTTGTTTTGTGTTTCGGCTGAGATTCACCTGATGTAATGTGTGCTGTTGATTCATTAACAAACACACTGTCCATAGCAACGTAACGCCTTCCTGAATGAAGTACACAAGTATCACAGGCTTCTGCTGGAACTGCTAGGTGCCCTCCGGTCATAGCGACCCTAGGTACCACGGAGGAAACACTGCTAGGTCCTGCACCATCTTCACGACTTTTCTGAAGGTTGAGCCCTTTGTTGTAGACACTGTGTCAATCTATTTCAGAGGGCCTTCCTTTTCTTCCACTGCCTCTCCATGTTACCAAGCATGATGGATAGCGTTCTCCAGGGACGGGTCCCACGATAATGTGTTTAAAGTCAATGAGACCAACTCTCACCATCCTTGCCCCTATGCAGCATTATGGTTGTATTCCCTGCCAAGACTGATCTCTTCATTCTTCTGGCAGTCTGTGGTACTTCCAATATTCTTTGCCAACAACATAGTTCAAATCCATCGATTTTTCTTTCACAAGCACATGAGGCGACTGAAAGTATCATACCTTGGGTTATGCACATCTCAGTCCTCAAAGTAACTTCCTTGCTTTTCAACACTGTACAGAGGTCTTGTGCAGCAGACAGACCTAATACAATTTATTTATTGACTGCTACTTCCATAAGCAAGAGAAATCCCTGACAACTTCAATCTTTACTCAGTTTATCATGATGTTTGAGGATTTTTGTTTACTTGGCTTTCAATTGTAATCCACACTGAAGGTGGCAACCACGGCCACCTCACTTTTAGCAACATGTTTGTATCATTTGCATGCTGCAAGTTGTGAAATAAGCCTTTCTCTGATCCGGATGACAAGTTTTTCTTCATATAATTCAGCTTCTCTGATTATTTGCTTAGCACACAGATTGACTAAGAATAGTGAAAAGATACAACCCTGACACACATCTTTCTTGATTTTGCACCATGCAGTATTCTCTTGTTCTGTTTGCACGACTGTTTCTGCATCTATGTACAGGTTCCACATGAGCGCAATTAAGTGTTCTGGAATTCCTATTGTTTTCAAAGATATCCACAGTTTATTATGATCCACACAGTTGCACAGTCAATAATACCCTTTGATCTTTTCTATTTTCTTGTCTTTTAATGACCTTTTGCTTTCTTCATGATAGATGTTTTTGATGTCTTCCGACAGTTCATCAGGTATTCTGTCTCTAGGTTTACTGCATCACACTTGTTCTTGAGATATTCTCAAAATTCAGTTAAGAGAGGTCCTATTTTGGCTCTCCTGGACTTGTTTTAATTTTCTTCAGCTTCAACCTGGGCTATTCCACAGTCAGCTCCTGGCCTGGTTTTAGCTGCTGATATGGACCTTCTCTATCAACTCTTCCCACAAATGTGGTCAATTAAATTTCTGTGTTTACCATATAGAAAAGTCCATGTGCATAGTTATCTTTTGGATTGTTGAAAAAAAAGTATTTATGATGAAGAATTCAATGTTCTTTCAGAATTCTATCATGTGCTCTCCAGCTTCATTTCTATCACCAAGACTATATTTTCCACCTGCTGTTCCTTACTCTTTGTTTCCAGCTTTTGCATTATTATCACCAATAATTATCGATGCATCTTGATATCCTGTTTGATCAATTTTAGACTGAAGATGTTGGTAGAGTTCTTCAGTTGCTTCATCACTAGACTTATGGGTTGGTGCATACATTTGAATCATAGTTGTATTGACTGAATTTCCTTGTATGTGGGTAGCCATTATCTTACCACAGACAGCAGTGCAATTCAAGTTACTGTCTCTCTCTTCCACTACAAATTCCAAGAGGGAAGACATTATTTTTGTTCACAGTTCCTTGTCCAGGCATAACAAATAATTTTAAAGATAATAGTCTAAGTAAACATATGAAAAATTAGTATTTAAACATTAAAATTATAAACCCTCTGACTATCCCTTAGCTATGGAAAACTTTAAGAGTTAATCTTATAAATATGCTTGGGAAATGTCACAGTGTCAATGCAAAATGGGAGGCATAGCTCAGTGATAACTGTACCCTTTCTCTTTCATAAGTTTTATATAAAGGAGTTTGTACACCTGGTTTAATTGGGTTTTCAAAGTACTTATG